CACTTGATGTTGCTGCTGCTGCTGCTGCTAGTGCTGCAGCAGCTCCAGCAAAAAACAGATTCTGGCTGCGCCCCAAGGCAGCATTTACTTAACATTTTGTTTGGATTCCCTTTGCTGCTGCAGAAGCTGTTGCTGCTGCTGCTTTGCCTCGGCTTGCAGCAGCAGCAGCAGCAGCAGCAGCAAGAACCTATCAGCACATTGCAGCAATGAAGGGCGCAGCTGTGGCTACCGGGGGCTGTTTGGATAAGGATTGTAGCGTTTGTAGAGCTGCTTTTGTTGCTGCTGCTGCTGCTGCTGCTGCTGCTGCAGGTAGTGACTGTGAGCGTAGCTCGAAGCAGGCTGCTGCAGCTCCCATGTAGAAGCAACAGTAGGCGCACCACCACTAGCTGTATCTCCACTAGCAGCAGCAGCAGCAGCAGCAGCAGCAGCAGCAGTAGTGCTTCCTGCTGTTATACTAGCAGGGCTCCTGGGACCTGGAGAGCTGCTGATGCGGCGCAGCAGCTGCTGCTGCTGCTGCTGGCGTTGGCTGTTCAACATAACAGAAGCAGCTGTTGTTGCTGCAGCAGCAACAGCAGCCGGTGCTGGTTCTGCTGCTGCTGCAGCTGCTGCAGCAGGAGACTGCGGGATGTGGCTTCCATGTCTCCAAGTCGAGCTTCCCTGCTGCAATTGCTGCAGGTGCTGCTGCTGCAGGTGGTGCTGCTGCAGGTGCTGCTGCTGCAGGTGCAATTGTTGCGGGTGGTGAGGCTGCTGCAGGAACAGCTGCTGCCGGTGGTGTTGCTGTAGTTGCTGCTGCATCTGCTGCTGCACCTGCTGCTGCTGCAGCTGGGAGTGGTGCAGCGGCGTCTGGAGTTGCTGGGGCGGGGGAGAAGTTGGTTGCATCCCTATCTGCTGCTGCTGCATGTGCTGCTGCAGCATATGTTGCTGCAGCATCTGCTGCTGCTGCATCTGCTGCTGCTGCATCTGCTGCTGCTGCATGTGTTGCTGCTGCAGCTGTTGCTGTTGCAGCTGATTGTGCTGTTGGGCGTGTTGCTGGTGCATGTATTGTTGCTGCATATCTTGCTGGTTCATCTGCTGCTGCACCCTCTGCTGCAGCTGCTGCTGCTGCTGCTGCTGCTGCTGCTGTGGGGAGACATTAATGATATGGTGTTGATTAATGAAGTGTTTGAGAGTTATTAACCCTCCTTCTGTTTTAATTAACGGGTCGCCTTTGGCTTTAACTGCAACAGGAACAGCAACGGGTACATCCACCTGCCTATACACCGGAACATGTCGGGGCACCGTCACCTCCCGTGGCACCTGCAGCAGCAGCAAATGCAGCAGCAGCAGCAAATGCAGCAGCAAATGCAGCAACAAATGCAGCAACAAATGCAGAAGCAGCAGCAGCAATTGCAGCGACAGCAGCAATGCAGAAGCAGCAGGAAGGAGAACAGCAGCAGCAGCAGAATGGGCAGCAGCAGCAGCAGCAAATGCAGCAGCATTTAACTGAAGTGGCCAGGAGACAGTATATCAGCAGGCAGCAGCAAACAAATCTAGGAAGGGGATCAATTGACGGAGGGACTCCCGCTGCTCAGAGCAGCAGCAGCAGCAGCAGCAGCAGCAGCAACAACAACAGAAGCAGCAGCAGCAGCAGCAGCAGCAGCAGCAGCAGCAGGTATTCCCCACCTC